TTCAGGCATGTTCGAAACTGGAGACGTGTACATTTCGGCTGCGGAATAAACTGCGCACATACACGCAAACGTTATATGTTTCTTTATATATAGTTAACAACATTCAACATGTTAAAATAACATCACAATCCGCACTAACAAGAGAATTGGTAATAATGGGTAGAGCATATTAAACGATCACTACAAAATAAACTACAAACCTAAAAAAAAAAAAAAAAATGAAAAATCACAGCTTTACAATACTGACAATGTACAATCAAACGTGCTTTGCCTGTCCCGTAATTTTTTTATATATATATTAAAAATATCTAATGTATTGTATGGTGTGTTATATAATATTGGAAAGCGGTTGAAAAGTGAGTTTTATTCAAACAACCAGGTTGATAAAAATATGTCTGGCAGAACGTGTAAATGAAGAATAAGCTGACAATCGTAGTTTGTATTCAGACACACTGACATTCAGTGGACGTGCAATAGTTTGTGTAACATTTAATATTGAACTCGACGTAAAGCTAAGTTGAGTTAGTCTCAGCCATATGTTAAAACCTTTCACCTGACATATTTAACTTCAGGAAACCCATTTTTACGAAATCATTCTTTTCTAATGACATGACAGACATAAAGGTCATCGTTAGCTTCTGAGTGAATGGCTACAAAGAAATTCAATTAATTTAGGTGATATTTCTGTCGATCTTTATGAGATTCACTTTCACAATTTCGGCGTCGAGGGCGTGGCTATCATGAATTCAAGAAAATATGCAAATTTAGGTAGCAACCATATACTGACTTGGAGTTATCTAGAATGGGACAGTACTATCAGAGGTCGCTGTTTATATAAATTGTATTATTCTAGGGGTCTGTAACCGGGCGTGCGTTTGTTTCTTCCAACCACGAATGCGACTAACTAATCACTAATCGTGTTTGGGAACATAATAGTCACGCTTTGCGCCGTGATTGTCATGATTCAAGATGGCGGCCTTACGGCTGACGGCAACCGGGCAATGAACGGTTGCAAATATGCAAAAGTTTTCAAAAAGTTCGTAATTATTATCCAGCGCCACGCAAACGTGAACATATTTTGACACTTTCTGTTAATTTCTTGCGACCTTTCATTAGTATTTTTGTCATTTTCTAAAATTGAAATGTGTGGGGAAAATCATTATGATGACACATGTCACCTAAAGCTTCGATTCCAAAATTGACGTCAAACTAATCATGTAAATCGATGCCTTGGTGACCTCATAAAGGGGAGTAATATTTATAATAATTTCTTAATTTCGCTCGTCATTACGGTCTTTAATTTCGAAAACATTTCAAATTTGGAAATAAGCAACGGATTCTTTAAGATATGGTAAATAATTGTCATGCTCGCCATACTAAAGATCGTGATAAATTAATTGTGTACACAATACAAATGTCCGAGTTTCTTGTCGAAGAATTGCCAATCTCTCATAAAATAGTCATCTTCCGTGGACCACTCTGGCTCGCTATGTTAATTATTTGGCCGATGTATAATGTTTTTAACATTTTATCGTCACATTTGACAAATATGAGCATCTTTAATTGTTTTTAAATGGCGAAATGTTACGAGTATAAACACTTTTTAATTACCGCGTTAAAAACCAGATGAAATGTGAACCATAGATGGCGCCACCCGTCTAATTTTCCACCGCACTGGCATTAAAATGGCCATACAACCTTAAAAAATATTCCCAATGGACAGAAAAAATGAATTCAAGTAAACCAACAAACAATCATGTCGTTGCTATGCGTTTTGTTTGATTCAAATGACGAATTACTTTTAGTACTTCGTGTTTTTTCTTGAGACGCAAGACCTTCCAATAAACTGGAAGGGATAAAACATTTAAAAAAAAAAAGAATTATTTTTTGTGATTGGCTGTTTGAAATTCCAACGAAAAATACAGGTGGTACCTGAACTAGTTTTTGCTTTATGAAACTCTATTGTCCGATGTCAAATTTACTCCGCTTCATAAATATAATTGTATTTATTATATATACGTCATAGTTTCCTTGACCGCTATTCGATATATCTCCTTGTCTATAACGTGAATTTGTTTTGGTAGTTTTTATTGGTGGCGGCTACTCTAACAACAAACGATGAGGGCGCTGTTTCTATTGCTTTCGGAATTGTTGAGCATATGCAGCCTTGGGCAGATGTACGAGGTAAATACAGCTACTTTCTATACCAAATATCCCTCTGCCCATGAACGTCAATGATGAAAGTATTGGAGAACATTGTCGTCATTGGGATCTTATCTCCATGGCAACATGGTTCCACTAAAAGACCAAAACATTATTAGACGTAAGTTTGTGATCTAAATGGTTTTATTTTTTCTTGATTCGTCGAAGGCGCTCAATATATTGCCTTATCTGCTTACTCGTGGCAATTTCACGGAATAATTTGAACGTGTTCTCGGGGATTTTCACTGGTCAATTTTTTGTGCTTGCACTGGGAGTGGAATGTAGTATTACTAGTAAATCAGCAGCACCGGGCAGTATCAACGGCACGATAACTGCCAGCCATAATACCAGACGTAACACTATTATTCAGTCATCGTGTCCTTTAATACCGGGCAACAAATCTTATTTGTAAATTTCAATGGCAGTTAAATCAAACGAGCGTAGTGTGCATCGAGGTCATGGCGTTCTAATGTTATTCAAAGTGGTCAACCTCTCGTTCGAATTGTGAAATGTAGAAATATTTATATAGATGAAGAATAGTGATTTTGTATATGTTATCTAAGTACCAGTATTAGTCACGGTACATTAACACTAGTTTTATATCTGGAGTGTCTGGAGTGACTGACTTGTAAATTATTGTACATGAGTAGTTTGTTGAAATATATTATCCAACAGTGCGAAATGCACGAATACCAAATAGTTGTAGATCATGTGTTGTTATTGTTTTTCTACTTCAGCAGCCTTTCATAATTTGAATGAAGTGCAAGAAGTGGACCGCGTACGTGCTGCTTTGATACGTCATGCACACTCAGGGGCAATCGAGTAACATTTGGAGTAATATTTGAACCTTTGACCTCTAAGTAACGCAATGTCACAACACCATTGACATTACACAATTGTATTTACCGCCAAGCTTACAAGGATTCTTGGTGTACATGTCTTGAATGTACACCAATAACTGCCAATGAGTGTCTTGCGGCACCTTTTTAAAAAATAAAATACACGCGGCTTCAAGATTTGATTTTTAATATTATTTTGTACCATACAGTTCCCGATATTGAATGTCACTTGTTGATTCTCCTGACTTTTTACAGTGCTACTAGACGGGACATACAATGCATTTTGCCACAAAAATTCCTTTCCATGTTGGGACAACGCAATAAGGCATTGTGGCCATATTTCTATCATAATGGCATTACGAAAAGACATTACTCTTTCCCATTGTCAGCAAGTCCCATTTGAACACAAGCATCCGTTAGCAAACGAATCTCGGCAGTGGATTCAGCCTACTCATCTGGTTATCATGGCACACAATAGTCTAGGGTAGGGGTCGACCTCTTTTTGGTGTTCACCGCCGATTCGAATCGCGTGTCATGGACAATTTATTTTACACGCGTTGTACGTGTCTTAAGGAACCAATATTGAACATGACTCAAATAAAGACATGTTAATAAAATTAATAATAATAATAACAATGTCGTCTGCCATCAGACACTCACATCCGGGTATTTTAAGACAATGATCTGCGGAAATATAAGCTTTTATGGTATATCAGACATTCAAGACAAATACAACAAAATATTCACAGTATATGTAAAACAAATTGATAAACAATATTTGAAATAAAATTTTAATTCTGACTGAAAATCTTCTCAGTGTATAACAAAATATATCACAAAAAAACATAAAAATATCACAGATGAAAAACAATATAAATTCACTATGCCATTTTACGGACGGTCAAACAGTGTTCTACACTTGGCCGATACAACAACTCTATTCACTAAACCAACAGATCAAACAAATCAAATTATCAGTCTCTTCCCGGGTACGTTTTCATGATTGTCGCCAATGGTGGCGCTGTTTACGTCAGTTTGAAGTAACTATCTTTTGCGTTCGTCAAGGATAAGAATATTTGTACGTTCGTTCTTATTTCTCGAACAAAAATTTTGGTTGAACAATTTCTTTAATTCCATGGGGCAAATGCATAACTAGTTATATGACAGCTTGTTCCATTAGTGAAGGTGCGACTAAGGTTCCAACGGTCTATGTCCAGGGTACGCCTTGCTCCAACTTTTGGTGAGAATCACGGTATGATAGAGACCCGATCCCTCAAAACCTCACCCCTTGAAACAAATTTACAAGAAAAACACACCCCTTTTATGGTAAAATGAATCTATCTTTGCGACATATCACAGCAAAAATACTATCCCCAAGTTTTAATCCCAAGAACGTCAAAATAGTTTATAGACCCTTCGATTGCCTCGCATACTCGTTTGTAAGTTTCCTCTAGTGACATACACTCCCGGGGGATGCCAACGGGTTTCCTGGAACTTGGAAAGCACCTATTTTTTTCATAAGAAATTCGACCAAATTTCAGGCTTAATGTGGCCATTAATGTCACCATTAATGTGCAAACGTAAACACAATTTACAATTATATGCCTTTCCGTCCCAATGTGACCAACAAACCCAGAATGAAACAGTCTCGTTTTCAATATATCGCGCCCTCTAGCGACAAAACACCTCACACATGTTGTTTGTTTGTTTTCTTTGCACGGACGAGCTATTTTTTTGTACCACTCTCGCATAAAATATAGCACTTTCCATGTATAAATCTATAAAAGCCTGTCAGCCCAGCCCGATTCATTAGTCCAATCAATCCCACATAAACCAACAAGTACCCCGTCACGGTTGATTGCTGTAATCAAACTGAGGTGGCCCGAAAGTCACTAGGGTTTGGCGTGTAGTTGTCCGCTGTTGAAACATACTGACAAATTTGCAATATTTGAATAGACGCAGAGTTACACAATAAAACGACGTGAATGATATCGCCTTCGTCTCTTGTGAGAGCAATCACGCCAGTCTTCGTCGCTAGAAGACGTCGATATAGTTGCCATGACCAACCCACCTTTTATTGTACCATGCCCTGTTTTAATGAGTTTTCGTCTAAATTCATATCCGAATTGCATTAATTGTTATAGCCACAGGTTGCAATGTTTTCTCAGTCAGATCGTGCTCGTATCCGGTGATAATAACTAGTAGTAACTTTAGTAGTTTCTAGTTTCATTTAGTACCGCGACTGTACCGTGAATGTAGATGGACAATGCCCGCAGCTGCAAATAATAGTTAACCATGTTTCTTTTATCGGAGCATCCGTTCATCTACACCATTAAGTGACATGTATTTACGGTGAATAAATTCGTTTGAGCCATCACATTGACTTGAATATAATGATTTTAACACCACCTCCACCTCGTCCGCACCCAAGCAGATCATAGGGTCGCCACCATCCTTGTGTGCTGATAATAATCTAAACTTACGTTGTACTCGTTTCGGGCTCGGCCTATTTATACAGCTCGGCGCTAAATGTTAAACCATTGAATCGGTCTCTGTATCCCGCTATGTGTTACTAATCTCAGCAGTTTGGTAATTTGACAACACGTTGCCAATGTATGCAGTATTGAAGTGATTTCCCAAATAGATTATTGACAGATGCGATGCATGCGGTAAAAAAACGTGCAGCCTTTCTTATCTGTCCACTGATCATAAACAGTCCAAGTTTAACTTCTCATAATTTTAACGAATTCCCCATAATCGATTTCTCCGTCTCCGTTTTCATCAACAAGTTCGACCATTTCCTGTATATCATCTTCCGTTAGGTCTTCTCCCAGTCGCTTCACCACCTCCCTGAGTTCTTCTGCGCTGATTGTGCCACTGCCATCAATGTCCATAGCGCGGAAAGCCTCGTAGATTTCTTGTTCAGAAATACGCTCTAAATCAAATAGAATAATACAAATCATATTAACATAAGGAAAATATAACCTATTGATATTCAAATTATAAAGCATATCATGTCGAGAATATATCAATATGTTTCTGTTGTGACCCGTATATTAACTTATAATATTTGTATACGCATGTCCATGCACGCACGAGTGTGTGTTACCGTGCCTCAAACAAAACAAGGAAAACTCCGCAGTTAGCAGTCGCAGGAGAGGGCATGGGAAACGACAATTATTCGCGTATGTATGTTGCATTGATATTTATATTAGACTATTGACCACATGGGATATAATTGGACAGTTACATTACTTGTCCAAATGATTGTCTAAATTGGATTTAAGGCCCGATAGAAAATGCAACTTTGGTTTATTTTCTCCCATAGACAGCCTGGCCAAAATATTTGCATATCTGATATTCTTCGTCATAGTTGTGCAGAAGAAATTTGATGAGCGTTCGTAAGTTGAATATTTTTTACCCTTAATTATTGAAATGTACTTATGTTGAAATGGTCTTATGTTGTAGTTTCATTTTTCACAAGTATGCAAGTTATTTGTTTGGTTTGGTTAATTTTCCCCCATGGTCAAATATCTTTTTTCATCAATGCGTAGGAAATTTATGCAATTGAGTTGTTCATGGAGACGTTACGTAATTTGTGCAAATTTTAGTGCATGGGTTAATGCAAAACGATCATAGCTAAAGCGGTCTTAAATTTAGAAAACTTTTAGTTTAATTCGATATTTGTTTGTGTTTATTTAATAATCCTAAACATATTGTTCTTCAGATCCCTGCTCACTGTCTCGTATACTTCCTACGTCATTAACCGAGGCGTGAATACGACTACATTACCACCATTAAAAATTCAGACAAAATTGTTGTCAGACGTCACAGAATCATTGTACAAACTGCACGCCATTATAACATCAACAACAAACTGAGTGACAGCAAATGTAACAACAGTTTGTTTTGCCCGTCCCATTCCTGTGAGAGTGCAATAAACATCGAGTCGACAATGGGTCGTCAGAAAATAACCAAAGTTCAAAACGAAATAAATGGTCATTGTATTTCGAAATACATATTGTTGTGATTGGTGTGAGATAGACGTGCGTTACCCGTGGTATGCGAACAACATGTGATTTCACCTCTATTTGTATCAACAATATATATCCTTCAACAAGGAGTATTGTAGTCGCACAATTAAGCAGTTACACGTGGGACTACCTGGCATGGTTGCGTTGTTACCGATTACCATGGACATCTATGCAACTGAAGTCAATGCAATCACGATTCCTCTATCAGAAACTATTCGCTCATGTAACACCGACAAAGCATGTATGTAATCGCTTTAACCTTCGCCGACTTGCATATCAAATGAAAAATGACGGCACTCTCGCAAAATATAACGTTTTAATGATATTTGAAGGTACACGAGAACGTTAAACGATTAAGTAAACAGGAAAGACGGTGTACACATAAATATTTACAGTTTCAAAAATTGTTCCCTAATAAGGTCATGTGTGGACACGTGCTCTTTACGAATCACATCACATCACTAACAAAGCATTACATCCTGGAATGTTATGAATACGTCTAGGTTATAAAATGACACGTCCTTTCAAGATCAGCTGACAAAGCCCTGTTCTAACCATGGAAGGTACTAACGTACCTGAAAGTACCTTCCATGTTCTAACTAACTTCTCTCAATTTATACAGAAAATATAAATCGTGAATCCGGCGATCTGATTAGTGGAGGGCGCATAGCCATGTTAAAAGTATGATTCAGTCCCTCAATACCTGGAATACGGTGTTCAGTTACACTAACTTGAAATGTGGTTGAATTTGACACTTGCGTAGATATATTTTACCTGAGATTATATTAATTTTAGCCTTGGTTTATCAAGGACCGGTTGAAAACCTTAACGAAATAGTTTTAGTTGATTTTTGAAGTGTCTACTCGTCCACGTCCGCATTTTCGATCTGTGGGTGACTCACTAATCTCCGCCTGTTGGTGTCACACGACCAACGTTTCAAAACGTAGGTTTGAAAATATATATGTATATGCACAGTCCTTTATATGTCACTGCTTCTCTCAATCTCAATGTCACAATTAAATATTTGTACTCGTGTATTTGTTCCTACTGTCACTACATATGATAATCGCTGCAACAGCACTTGTCATAGTCAAGTGTCGAGTCTTTGTTCCCACGTACATTGCATTATTCCGGTTACGGTGCAAGGTGGACACGGTTGGGATTTCATAGATGGGTGTACCCCCAATTGAAGTTGAATAGTACATAACAATTTTACAACAGTCAAAAGTGTTAACTATTTTTGTTAAAAGAATCGAACTCCAATTGAGGAGAGAATAACACCATTTCAGCATGCGAACCGAGACAGCTGTGGCACGTAAACTGGAAACAATTGTCAACTTTATCTTGTTTACTCTTTATTAACTCTCCATATTGAAACTTGCTTCTATGACTGGGTAAATATAGCGAAATAATACATCTTTCCGCCCTCTGGCGATGGGTGTTTCTGTGACGTAATGGGTTACAGAAAAACTTTTCATATCGTCGACATTGATTGTTTTAATATGTAGCCGTATTTCAATAAAAAAAAAAGTTTGTGAGATTCACGATTTTCTCAATGACGAACTGCACGACCAAAGCCTATTTTGATGACATTGCGTAATCCATCTGCGACATTAGTGCTAACTGACAATAGTGGCCCGTGGCACCCATCAAAAAGTGCATGCACCCATTTAAAGTGTATGCTCGTCGCCCTTAGATTGACCTAGGAACGTCTTAGCCGGTGACGAGTATCAATATGTTAACCAATAACAGCTCTTTTTTTTTTTATTAAAGTACAATACATTGGTTTTAACTTTTTGGTATTATTGATATATCTAATTCTTTAAAAAAAAACTCACGAAGTGATTGTAATATTTATAAATAAAAACCAAATATACAATAAAAAGCTATTTAAAGCACTTTTTTATCGCCAATACTGACTTGAACTTTGAATAAAAGGTAAGCCTGTTTCACGTAAAATTTTATTGGCCATTCATAAAACTCAAGAAAGAAGTTGAAGTTGTCTGAGCTTATTAGCAATGTAGATTATCGGCACATTTGTTGCCGCTAAATTTAGTCTGTTTACAACCGATGGCCGTTATGAAATGTACTAGACTAAGTATTGCATGTTAGAGATCTACTATTGTCGTGCTTTATTTCACGATTCGAAGCTGCTTATTTATTACCGAATAAAAGAAAACTGGATTTCGTTGCATGGATATTATATGTAATGAGAAAAAATCTACTTTCGATTGTGGAATATTTTTTTCAAATATTATTTGCGCCAGACATTGTCAGTATTGCAAATTAATTAATGTCCCATCCCGATCTCTACCAGACCATGTAAAACTCATCCACCTGCTGACGGACCTTAACAAGGGCTCAACGAAAGTCGCATCTTTCAGTGATATGAATCCTATAGGCTTTGGGCTGCCTCGTATTATAGAAAATCAACCACTCTCTCATTATTGGTGTTCAACCCCTAGGTAGGATCTGAACGTTTAGCGATCATGGATATTGATTGTTGAGCTTATCTCGCGTGTCAAGTTGGTGAAAACATTGAGTCTATGAAAGAATTTACGACTTTTAAAACACAATAAGACAAATCAGAATGCAATATATGGTGAGACTTCATTAATCTAAAAAAAATATACTTACCATCAGGTGGTTCAGAACTACCTCCACAGCCCATTATTGAGTTAAAATAAAAACAGACGGTGCAAAAGTTACCACAAGTACCCGATCATTCCGGGTGTTCCAGTCGAAGAATAAGCTGCTTGTACCGAGTTGACACTCACCGTGCACTCACACACGTCTTTTAAGTTCTGACACTATCGTTTGTTCTATTTTAACAATATTTACCAACTAGGGCGTCTTGCCGACACTCTTCAACCATTGTATAGATAACAAAGAACACTGCCCTCTATTTAAATCAAAATAAGCGTTGTCTTGACAGCGCCGGTTCATTTAGTCGTGTAAATAGACCATTTAATACCTTTCAATAAAAAGATCTCACACAAAAAAAATCGGCGTTAGTTGCACGTGTGGTGTGACGTCACGGGGTCGGCTGCTTCAAGTTAGTGGAGGTAGTAAACAACACACAATCGAACAATGTTAATACCTACGCTAAGAAGATTGTCTTTTTTAGCTCCATGGTGTTAGCTAGCGTTAGTCTGATACTAATAGTTTGTTCACAGGATAACTAAAAACGTTATTGATGGATTCTCATTAAATTTGTAGAAGTTATTAAATTCTGTTATCGATACGGGTACGGCCATTATGGATACAGCATTTTCAGGAACGATCTTTCATTTATGACTAAAAAAGTTATGATGATGGATTCTCATGAAATTAGAGGGAGTAATCGATTAGATTGATTGGATTTCGGTACAAATGTGGATACAGTCGCTATGGTAACAGCAATTTTGGAAATGATTTTTGTATTTATAACTCAAAAAAAAAAAAACGATTAGATTTTGGTAGAGATTAAGATATGTCAGATTTTTTTTTTCAATTTCCAGAATGCACAATCCATTAAATGTTGGTAGAAATGTGGGCCTGGTTGCCGTATATAGGTGTAAGTGTAGGAATAACCCGACGGGACATATGGGTGTAGTGAGAGCGTAGCCCGGGACAATTTCCTGGTGACCCGTCACATGTTAGCTAGCTGTTTTAATTTAAGATTTGAAGTAATAACCAAGGTTTGCACCATTTCCCATCAAAAAATCATTCTTTTATTTCCGCCATCTGTTGACGCTGAACACTCAGAAGCCACCATGACCTCACCTCCTTTACGATCCAACTTCTTAAAAAAATACCACCACCCGCTCACCTTCACAGTGAAACTTACAGGTCAAATGCTCTAAAGTTTGCAGCGGGAAATTATGGCCAGTGATACCATGGCTTATCTCTCATTAATGTAAGAAGTCATCAGCTGACAGAGGCGGCGGCACAAAATGTTGCTGGGGCGAGATCTGCTCACCACCCCTTGTGCCCCATAGCCGCAAGTCGTCGCGCATTTTTTCGGTGCCCCCTGCCCCGGTGCCACCGACACTCAGGCTGCTACGCTGTCGCCAATTGGCCACTCGCGCTGGCTGTCAACACCTGGCCTGTGTATAAGTCACAGTATGTTGAGCTGCTTGGCGGAAGTCTGCGCTCTCCTAGCGCTGTTCTGATTTAATACGTATCGGTTCGATAAACCCCTACAGAGACCTGAGAGAAGCAATTTGATGAACCTGCAGAGAAACTAAAAACCTAATCTATTGAAAGATCCAATAGAGATTTATCACAGCTTGTTGACGTAGCAATGATGATTGAATTATTGATTTATCATACATTAAAACCTTTGTTCTTGCAGCACACAACTAAGTCCAATGAAACAATTCAATTCTTTAATATGCACGTGCACTGGTAGTTTTTGGTACGTACAATAACAGTCTCTGCACATGCGTGTTAGGTTTCAGATTTGTTTCATCAAGCAAATGCTGCACAGTATGCTGCAAAGACAATCCAAATCTATTTTCGTCCTCAACATGCCCTATCGAAGAACAAAAATAAAAAAATATAATGATGTAAAGTCAAATCCCACCGGTCCTGGCAATAGTCTTAATTTTATTTATAAATGTCCGTAGTTTGAAAATAGTAAGCTACTGAAAATTAATTAGTGAGATGTTAAGACCTTGTAAATAACCATCAGTTTTCATGTATAATCAACTAAAAAATGCACCATTCCATCAAGATTGAAACCAGTCTGACAGAAAGAAAGAGCAACAGAATTATTAATGTATTTATTTGTATCTGAGGTCTGCAAATCGTGAGTATTGTGATGTTTTGTGTAATTAAACCAACATGATTGTGATCATATGTGAGATGTGTAAGTTTGTTACTGAAATGATTCTGGGGAAAAACTTTGTTTTGCCACAAAACATTTTCAGATTCCGAGAGAAATTGTATTTGGCACACCTATTATCTATGCGTCCTAATGTATTTTTATTGATCATACAAGGGTGTACCATCTAATGTACCTTTCTCTCCTCTTTGTTATTACTGTATTTGTATTTTGGTAAAAGAAGAAAACGTTACCTACATCAGTACAAACCCTGGCCTGTGAGGGCGCTTAATAGGGGGCCTCGTTTTCACTCGAGTGAAACCGGGAGTGAAACTCGGAGCTACATAAGAATCTGATTTGTGTTGTATTATACTGAGTAATTTCCACGGTGTCTCATATCGTAAAATATTCATCAGAACTGTCATACAGTCATTTAAACCAAACACTAGAACTGAAATTTGAAACTGCCGTGACTCCTAGTCACGAGTGACGAGTGATCATTTGTTTATGTTGACATCGAAACAAAATGGCGAATTTTAAAGTGGCGTTGACAGTCTGGTTTACCGTTCAACTTCCGTATTGCTACACTTGGTATTTGCCAACAAGTCCGTCGGTTGAGTACTGTAATACTACAAGACAAGATAGCAGTTGTGAGGTTAGTACGTTCACGGAGCTCCATAGTTTGTCGCTCGTCACGTGTGTTTTGTTTTTGGACGAATATGTGAAAATATCATGCCAAAACTTGCCCCGATCTTTCACCCATCCATAAATTGATTGATCTCTGGACGAAAGTTTAATAACACCGTGATGATGGTTTCGTGGCATTTTAGGTCCAGATTGGCCCACTAGCTACATTGGGCTACATCGGTGTACAGACTGAAATCAAAATCAAACGTAAAAAAATATTACATTAAATATTTTCTTTTTTTTTGGTTATGGACATCAATGAAGTTGAAATATTAAAAATGGCAAATTAGTTACACAGATTTCCAAATACTATTTTTTTATGATAATATTATATAAATTAATCCACATTGACTGAATTTCTCTCACACAGAATTGCCATTCACTTCACACGTGTACCACTATGCACGAAAGAAATATTAAAAATGTCTGCAACTGGTGCTCTTCGTGCAACACTGAATAGTATGGTTTATTCTCAGGTCAAAATTATAATGTATATATTAACTGGTCAAGGGACTAAAAAAGTGATTAAATTTACATATATAATAACTTGACAAAAGCGAGTACAGATTATTTCTTAAATCTCTATTGCCTGATAACTATACCTGATAACACTGGGTATAAAAATTCAATAAACTTGCGAAAATAAATTCAAGTGAAAATAAAATACTTCACAGAAGTTAATTAAGTTTGGAAGCCACTGTACTTTAAAGTCCAAAGATTCATATTACAGCAATTCCAGGCACTGATTTAGTGCTAGACATAGATAACATTCTACAATAGGTTACACACTTTGTTTTCACATTTACATAAGTTGTAACTAGAAATATATACAATGGTTGCAAATCAGAGAAATGATTGACAGATATTGTCTGCAAATGTTTTCTATTTTTGCTACAAAGTTAGGTGTCCCGCCTTTACTAAACTCAGTCCAGCTTTATGCAGACAGTTCACTACAGAGGCCGGTTACATGTGAAGCTACAACCTTTTTATTTTCTATTCTGATCAAGTATAAGTTAATTACACGTTTATACTACCATGTGTTTTAATGTGTTGTATTTTCTTTTTATTCAACCATGAAGCTAAATGATTCAACAGAGGTGGATTATCTCTGAAATTGTAATGCACCGTTTTTATTTCTGAACTACATTCATGAAAAAAGGCACCATATAATCTTGTTGAATAAAACGTCATATGGGTTATTTCAATTACAAACTAATGTGTATTTGTTTTATTCATAACATCATCTATACCCTGCTTATACAATCACAGAAAATGTACCAGACTTTAATTTTACAAATTTGGCAGGTTGTCGAATGATACTCACTTGGTCGTAGATTAGCTTCAAGTGTGTTATATATCGAAGTGGGACGATGCTGTTGATAAGTCGCCGTAGCTCGTCCTGGGAGAGGAAATGGTGCACAATTGTAGCTCGGGAACATACCATACTGATATTGGTTCGGGTAAATGGGTGGAGGTAACCACTGAGTGTAAGGAGTTGGCATTACATTGAATTGTCCTACCATAAATGTCAGTGGGATAACCAGGATGAATTTCTGGTGAATTGGGGTGTTAGCAGCATATGACAGACCATTCTTTATGACCTTTTTCATCAACCAACTTGTCGGCATGCTGATTTCTAAAATAAAAAATTCAGAGAGACAACTAGTTTATAAATGTTTGTTATACTTTTAACTTTTTTAGACTGAGTTACCCGTGTTTGTGAACAGGCTGGATTCCAACAAGCGATATATTCCATACAAATATGATGGGTAAGTGGATTGTACTTTCTAGTGTTGCGTTTATAGAAATATTTCAGAGATCTCTGCAAATAACAACCTCATAAAACATTGATTGTTTGTTTGTTTGAATCGTTCTTCTATATTCCTGTTGGTCATAGCTTTTAATGGTTGATAACAAACAGGAATGTTACAATGTTGCAAAGAAGAGTGATATGTCGATAGCAGCCTTATATGTACATATAGTTGTGTTCTCTTATACATGTCTTTCCTGGTTGTATAATTTCACTGAAGCTATTTAGTGAATTTTTTTTTAGCTTCGCTGTCGACTTTGTTGAGCAGAGCTTATCATACGAGTGATTGTTCTTTGGCGTCCGGTGACTGTTGTTGTCCATGCAACTTTTTGTTTTTTCGACTTCTTCTTGGGTAATCTGTGTGTTCGTGCGTCCGTCCGGAGTCATATTTCAGAATCCTTTGGACCGATTCTGTTCATTCTTTGCATGTGCCTAGTACTTTATTTGGGACATATGCACATGCAGTGGTGTAGCGATTTGATTCAAAATGGCCGACTGGCAGCCATATTGTTTTTTGAAAACTTTGTATTTTAGACATGATTTGTCAGTTTTCATTCAAACTTAGTACATAGATTATACATGTTAGAATACATGTTCATGACAATTTCTTCCGCAATTGGATCAAAGATGGTCGACTGGCAGGCATCTTGTTGTTTTTTTAAATGTGGTATATTGGACATGCTTTGTCAGTTTTCGTTCAAATTTGGCACATACCTTATACATGTTAGGATACATGTCCATGACAATTTGTTTCAAAATTGGATCAAGGATGGCCGATTGACAGCCATCTGACTTTTTGGCCTTACTACTATATTTCCAAGATTTATGTACCACTTTTATTCGTATTTGGCACATACGTCATACATGTCAGTTTGTTTCATAATCAGATCAAAGATGGCCAAATACCGACAGTTTTTATTTTTGTCCATATTATTATATCTCTGTTACCCATGTATCATTTACATTGATATTTAGCATGTCATAAATTGATACATGTTCATGTCAATTCAATTTGCAATTTGATCAAATATAGCCGACTGGCAGCCATCTTGTTTGTTTAAAATGTGATAACTTGGACATGCTTTCACTTGTGATCTATATTTTTCTTTGCTATGTCTTAAACCGGAGGGGTCGTCACGCAACACATGTTCGAACTTGATGTAAATAAACAATCTGTTGTTTATACCACTTGGGACTTATGTTTCAAGGACAAGCTTGTGACAACCCCTCCGCTTTAGGAAAACTTTAAAAAAATTAATGGGGACTGTGTCATTTTCAATGACTTGTTTTTGGTGAAAAGTGATATTTTCAACTTCCTGTTGAAAACAGCAAGTCCAATTGCTTTGATATTATACATGTAGGTATCTCAGGTAGACCTCTCTCAGGTATTTTCTAATGATAATTGAAATGTGCATTGCTAACAGCAGAGCCAACAGGCTGCTTGTTATTTGTTTTTTGTATATTTTTCTTTTTCTTTTATTGCTAGATTTGGTTTTGTGAAATTGCCGTCGAAGTCTAACATTAAAGAAAACATAGGTGAACTGTTGCAAGGAGATCGACTACACAAATCACCATATAATGTAAGTTTCTGAAAATACATCACATCTTATCATTACCCTCTCCTGTTCAGAAAATTGAGTAATATTTTGTATTAGTATTTTAAGTGAGAGGAGAGATAATTAATAATTTTTAATATTTCCCAGAACTATTTTCATCACTTCCCATTGTTAATAGTGCCTTTTTTATTAATAATTTTTAATAATAACTGTAAAACCATTTATTTTCACTGGCATTTCACTATTTTGATATTTGTGAGCAATATTCATTGGGTTTGGGGTTTGGAAACAATGAGTTCTATTGTTATTTCACATACTCTAATGTTCATATAGATTTAATTTAGCAAATTTTATATGTCAGGGTAAGTAGCGAAATTAAAACCCAGTGAATGTTTATCCATTTTGCATATTGACTTAAGAAAAGTTGGGGATCACTAGCCTAAGGCCACACTGATTTAATTTTATGGATGACATCCTCTGGAGACCCCAAAACTAATGCGAGAGGGCGAAAAAAAAAAAATCTTGCCAAAAAAAAAAAATGCTGCTAAAACCACAGGACTACGGAGCTGGTATTACGAATTGAACCACAGAACACAGTGTATCAAAAAAACAAAAAAAACAAGTCTTTATTTGTAGGAGACACATGTTGATGTACACATTTCGTACTGTATTACTGTAACAGGTATAACCATTTCAGACAAGCTCTAGTACATGTAGTCATGATGAAGTATCTTCAGTCAGAAACACTGCATTCAAGGTACAGCATGAACACCATTTTCAGTACAAGTCAAGGCGGAATGTACATATCACTACTTTATGACAATAACTATTAACAAAACATTGCAATGATACAGAAATGTCCTTGCTTGCTCCTCTCTACACACCTGGGGTTAGCTTTAACTGTGTTGTCAGGTGAAATGAAGCCTACATGTTAACCCTGCAAGTATGTCTAGTGTCTCATGTCTAGGGATCTCAACCTCAAGCATCAAAAAAAAAAAAAAAGATCTCTTGCACTCATCTACACCACACACATCGATCTCTTCAACAATATGTCTTTTCTTCCTTCTCAGCTATCACATCCCTTGGCCACGATACACCTCCACTCCTATCCAATTTCTCTCATCGTTGCATCGCGGGACAGCCACCTCTGGACAATATGTCCTTATAGCTGTGTAAACGTTACATCTCCCTGGCCAACGTCAATTGCGTACCAGTCTACAACAATCCCTCCGTTTTCCCTCTGAACTTTTATGCTCACGTATTTTGGTGGCTTGGTCGCCATGTTGGAATTCCCGGCAACACTATATGCATGTACAGAAGATCATTTACGACATAACTGACACGTTTTGAGGTAGTCCAAAACGAGTTTTACGAAAAGCCGGCGTTTTGCAACAATATGAGTTGGCAAGTTCCAGACTGAAAACCGATCTGTGGAGACTCGTCGTAGGAGATTTTTTTTTTTTTTTTTTTTTTTTGAGAACAGGCGAAAACTAATGCGCGCGTGGATGTCATCCATAAAATTAAGTCGGTGTGGCCTAACTTTAAAAAAAAATGATGGTTAGTGGATAGTTGCCATTTTGGCACTATTATAATAATGCTACCATATGTTCTTATGTCAGATGTATTATGCCATGTCTCAAATTGTAGGCTGGTGACATAGGATAAAAAAATCAAATATATTGGGTATGATGAGGTAAATTTGGTTCTCAAAAAATGCAATCAAGGGAATTGTTCTAGAAATGGTGATTTTTCAAAAAAAGACAAGTTTCTCAAAAAGCTTAACTGTAACACACAAAATAATGCTATTTCATTGTGCCATGTACAATAGCTTTGTGATTTTACATAATAAATCACTGAATCCTGTCGTGCGATTTAAATTTTATGAGTAGACTTCTACCTTAATGTATCTACTGTGTTCTAATATCTCCCAGAGAAAAAACGGTCACTGGTAGCATAGTGGTTGACTCATGATCGGTAGACCCAAGTTCAAATCCTACCTTAGGCTGAACATTAAAAGGGTCGACCCCTACCCTGGGTGTGTGTGTCACAGACTCAATAGGAAGGCCAATTCCACTGGCTGAGATTCATTCACTAACGAATGCGACTTTGGGGGAACCTTGGTTAAGGTCAGCAGGTGCTTGCGTTTGACCGAGCCTGGTTGACGCTAGGATAGCGCATTAAATTGCCATTTGATATAGAGATGGCCACACAGCCCTGTCATGTAGTCCCAAACAGGAAATGACTTCTGTGGCAGAATGCACTATGTGATAGCACTTGCAAATTGCACGTACAAAAAAAAAAGTCAGGAGAGACAACAGTGACATTCGTCCGAGACTGTCGCCTGGCACAAAAAAAAAATATCTGCTAGAGATCTCTCTTGGTATTACTTCCTGTTGTCAATTTTTAGCTTCGCCGTCGACTTTGTCGAGCGGAGCTTATCATATGAGTGATTGTCTGTCGGCGTCTGTCGTCGGCGTCCGTGTCAATGTTTTACTTTTTCGACTTCTTCTTGAAAACTACAAGCCTGAATGCTTTGATACTTGGTGTATATGTACCTTGGGCAGACCTCTCTCAGATTGTTCATTTCATGTTGATATCTTCAATTCTCTAATTTTGGTGAATATTTTTGTCATTTTTGGTAGAAAGTGATATTTTCGACTTCTTGTTAATAACCGCAAGTCCAATTGCTTTGATACAACATATATAGGTACTACATGTGGACCTCTCTCAGATTTGTTCATTTCGTGATGATATCTTCAATTCTCTAATTTTGGTGAATATTTTTGTAATTTTTGGTAAAAAGTGATATTTTCGACTTCTTGTTAAAAACTGCAAGTCCGATTGCTTTGATACTATACATATTGTTCATTTTCTAATGATGTCTTCAGTTCTTTAATTGAAATGTGCATTGCTAACAGCGGAGCTATCTCAGCCGATAGGCTGCTTGTTTTTTTCCTCAGAATCCTATACAATTTGCAACTTTATAAATTTGATATGTCTTCTTCAACATGAAAAAAGAAGAAAGTTGCTGATTGTGGCAACTGACTATTTTGGGTCAAAAATTAGTAAATTTTTTAAAACTCATACAACTGAGTTTAGTTACCCTGTGTTTTTTTCAGATTTTTAGCCAGTCGCAGAAAATTCTATTGTAAAAACTGCTTTAGTCTAATTTGTTTTTGTATTTAAAGTGATTTAAACTTACATTATTATTTCAGATGACATTTCTGACTGCTGGCTCTTGTATGATGGGTGATACATGGCAGACTACATACACACGGAATACCAATATGTGGGCACATTTGAAAGAAGCTATAATGCTAAATTATCAACATCACTGGTAGGTTAATCCTAGTTTTGTGCTCAATTATCAACACTAGTAGGTTAATCCTAGTTTTCTGCTCATTTATCTGAACCACTGGTAGGTTAATTCTGGTCTCGTGCTCAATTATGAACACCACTAGTAGGTTAATCCTGGTTTTGTGCTCATTTATCAGAACCACTGGTAGGTTTATTCTGGTCTCGTGCTCAATTATGAACACCACTAGTAGGTTAATTCTGGTTTTGTGCTCAATTATCAACACCACTGATAGATTAATCCTAATATGGCTTTCATCTCTATTACGTTTATCATATATTTGCATATCATATTTTAATCATGTTTTTACCGCACTGAGGGTTGAATAGGTACAGTTTCTATTTGATCATTTCTTTAAATATGTTGTGGATACAATGTTCTCCCAGGATTTTCGTCTAGGATAGTGGATAACTTACATAATAATTAGCATTTAATTTACATAATTTATTCATGATATTTTTACATTTTTTAATATTTCGTAAACTGCTCACTGTATTACTTTAAGTTTTATGCTCAGTGGTTCCAAATTTGAATTTCTCTCCCATAGTGCATTGCATATATGCTAATTAACATGCTCATTGGTTCCAAATTTGAATTTCTCTCCCATAGTGCATTGCATATATGCTCATTGACATGCTCAGTGGTTCCAAATTTGAATTTCTCTCCCATAGTGCTTTGCATATATGCTAATTAACATGCTCATTGGTTCCAAATTTGAATTTCTCTCCCATAGTGCATTGCATATATGCTCATTAACATGCTCATTGGTTCCAAATTTGAATTTCTCTCCCATAGTGCATTAAATATATGCTCATTAACACTCTCAGTGTCCAAATTTGAATTT